ACATAATTTGTAACACACACATTATTAACTAATAGAAAAAAGAATATCCAAGAGTAAAAAACTTTTTTTCGAATCAAAGAATAAATTGCGTGAGAATTTCGTTTGAATTTTTTATTGTCATAATAATGACAATTGTCACAATTAATACACATTGTCATTAAGGTTTCTTGATTCACTCTACCAACAACAACTTTGACAACAACAAACAAAATCATTATTCTTCTTTTCAATTAATTAATTGGTTTTTTATAATCATCATTGTCATCTAACTCATCATTATTATTTTTACAGTGACAACAATTTAAATAAAATTTTTTTCCGAGAAAAAGAAGGAAGGGTCAGTTGTGAAAAGTGAAAAAAAAAACTTGAATTAAAACGCGAAATTTATGAAATAATCGGATCTTTTAAACGTCAAAAAAAAATATTCTTTTTGTAGTTAATATCTTGCATAGACAAAACAATACATGTGAGTTTGAATGATTACATACGTTTTATTTCCAAGCTCCAAAACTTCCAAAAATATACATACATACAATATATTATTTATAATATATATATATACACACATATATAAATAATATATAACAGGGTATAAACTAGGTTGTTATAAACCCGCCCATCACTAGCAGACGCTTCTTTCATGGCTTCAGAATCTAAACAGGTTGTTGATTACAAAAAGCCAGCTGTCTCTTGATGACAACTTGCCATTGCTGGCTTCCAACAGGCCTAACCCTGCTGCAGACATTTTTGTACTCAACAATCCTCTTCCTTATTCTGTGCAGTAAAATCAGCCGGCTGCCTCTTGATGACAACTCGCCATTGCTGGCTTCCGACAGGCCTAACCCTGCTGCAGACGCTTCTTTCATGGCTTCAGAATTAGGGTTTATAAAGAGTGTAAGTAAATATTCAATAAACTTACACAATTAATTTCCAGTGAAAGATATTGGTATGTATTGATAATAATAAGGAGCAAAGTACACAAAATTATACAAAAAATTTTTTTTCAAGAGTTGCTCAATAATGGTGGTAAGATCGGATCCAGATGTAATGAAATGTGTGTTCAAGAAGCTTGAGTACAGTGAATATAGATGTTTTGAATAGAAATATATATAGAAATTCTAAAAACATTTGAAATGTTACACTGATTTTTTATCTCATCAGTGCATATAATTATTATCAGTTGTGTGACATGTCACATCAAATTATTTTCTATATTAATATGTGAAACAAATTTTTAAACGAAAACGTGACAGTGAGCTTTGTGACTTTTACTCACACAACGACATCATTCAGGTCAAGACAATAGTCTATTTTATTAATTCAAAAAAATACAAATAGGATGGCCATCCCCACATTTTTTTTTCATTTTTTTCATAGATAAATTCCTCTCAGGCCATTTCAGTGCATGGAACTCAACTTTCTACGACATCCCTGTCCATCTTCAAGCAATCAAGTTTACAGATGGTGAGCACATTTAAACCATGAAATCATTTATCATTATACAATGTTATACAAGATGTCAAAAAATAAAAATACCACTGCGCTGAGTGTTTCATAGCATTATAACACATTCCTTTACCAGATGTTTTTCAAATTTCCACAATAGTGACATCTTGCAGAATAATGTCCTTTGCTATTTTTAACTCACTTCCTTTCACAAAGTACATCCAAACATTTTGAAGAAGGTCGTCCAATAATTCATGAATTTCTAATTTGATTCTAAAAATATTTTTGAATTATTATTATTAATTATTATTAATAATCTTGTAAAAAATTCCAAGTCGTGTGCCAAAAGTTATAACTCGTTTATTGGTTCAAATTATGCATAAGTGCTGCAGATCTAATCAAAATTTTTTTTTTAAAAAAATGAATACAGTTGAAGAAATCAAAAAGCAACTTGAAATAGCAAATGAAGAATATAAAGATGCAAAGAAAAGGTTAGAGGCAAAAGAGAAGAGATTAGATGAGTTGGGACAGAAATTTGCAAATGAGAAATGGAGGAATAATGAGCAGAAGAGCAATTGGAAAGAGCAGAGAGATGAATTGAAAAAAGAAAAAGAGGAGTTGAAGGAGATGAAGAAGAAGTGGGAGAACCAGACAATAATTTACAACGTGTATTAATTGAACTTGACAAGGATAAAGGTAATGGAACAAATTGTGTACAAAATTATTTTCCATTCATTTATTTATTTATTCATTTGAGATCGACTGTCCATTTGAGGTATGATGTTGACTAACTTCTTATTGGACTTTTTATCCTTAAATCAACTGACGAAATAAACATTCTATCATTACCAAATTATAAAGATGTTGTGATGGAAGATCTATCAACAGAAGCTATAATTGGAAAACTAGAGACTGAGAAAGACAAAACCATTGTAGCAGATGCATTCAATTGCAAATTGTGAACAGTCAGAATTTCCTTGATAATTTCCACAGTCATATCAACAATTGCTTATTGAAATATCAACCGGATCATAGCTATTCTCCATATATAGCATTGATCCAAGGTTCTGGCTTATCAGAAATAGCATGGTGCATGGAATTTTACAGTGCAGGATATAGTTGTCTTCCTCCTGGGTCCTATCTATCACCATTAGTAGGAAAACTGCTCACAAATGACGGGTTGGTTGATTTCTACATTTCTAGTGAACAATGGGCTGTTGAATTATTAATAGGTGGCAGCAGGGTTGGCAAATGAGCAGTCCATTGATGGTCTATTGGTGATCCATTGGTCCATTAGTGTAATATTTAGTATTTTATTAATGGCAATGGACCAGTCCAAAATCCATCAGTTCATCAATTTGCCAACCCTGGGTGGCAGTGCTATGAAAGAACACATTAGAAGATCTGAAGATGTATGTTTCTCTTGATTGATGTCTGGCTTTTTTATTAGATATAATTATCTAATTGTTAAAACTAGGTGGCTCGTATTCAAAAATCCCAATTAAATCTCACTTAATATTGGATATCAGAGAAAAAAAATCACCTTCAAAAACATATGTTAATGTTTGGCCTATTCTTCCAAATACTGATTACAAAATATTCTGTGTAGTAAATATCAGTCAAGAAGAGTTTTCTATAAATGTGGATTATATTGATGTTTATGAAACAACTGCAAAAAAAAGAAGACATAACGTGAATCAAAGAAATCTCAATGATCTGGTGGATTCGTTTTCAAGGAAACCATGAAAGTTGATAGAGCTTTTAAAATCCAACAAAAAAGATTCAAGAAGTAAAAGTAATAAGGAAGGTGCTAACATTTGCCAAAATAAATTTGACGATGCTCAAAAACTTTTAATACAAATTCTAAATGAGAATATTGGGAGTGAAATTTGGCCGCATGGCGCAGCAATAGGAGGTCTTTAGACCGAGCCAACCATAGTAAATTTTAGAAAATTTTCAAAAAAAAATTCCCATTTTACCCATTTTAGCATATAACATGTCAAAAATTAAAAGCTTTACCCATATAAGATATGTAACTTCATATGATCATGTTGTAGCAAAATGAACATTTAGTATTATTGTAAAATAGTAATTTTTACATATGACGGGAAACGCACAAAATAAAATCGGACAAATCTGATCGAGAATTCAAACCGGTCCCATTTAATTAGCATAAATTTGGATTTCAAAGAAATCGGAAAACTAGATGATAGAACCTTTAACATGCATAAATAACGTTGTAATTTTCTTAAGTCTATAATAATAAATAACACTGTCCTTGTCCTTGTCCATGTTGTCTTTGAATATTATATTCTCGTAATGATAATAGAACTATCTTTAACAATAAATTACTACTAATTCCGTGCATAATTATTTTCTCTTATTT